TGAGGTGGCTCGGGCATCTGTTTCGGATGCCTCCTGGGCGCCTTCCTAGGGAGGTGTTCCGGGCATGTCCCACCGGGAGAAGGCCCCGGGGAAGACCCAGGACACGCTGGAGGGACTATGTCTCTCGGCTGGACTGGGAACGCCTCAGCATTCCGCCGGAGGAGCTGGAGGAAGTGTCTGGAGAGAGGGAAGTCTGGGCATCTTTGCTTAGACTGCTGCCCCCGCGACCCGGTCCTGGATAAGCGGAGGAAAATGGATGGATGGATGGAAATAATGATTCATGCCGCTCCACCGTTTGGAAATGATTGAACTGAGCCATAATTCCATTATGAAGTCACTGAGGTAATGAAAATCAGGTAGACGAGAGGTAACAAAAAAAGATGGGTTTTCATTAGAGCAGATTAAAAAAATGTATTGCCTCTTGGCATATCATGGTGATCTCTTATATATGGGAACACCTATTCTATTCATTCTAGTTCTGGCTGAGAAGCATTGATAAAGTGGAAACCACAGTTGAAATGCACAAGAAATTCTCAGATCTCTTATGTAATTAAATAATTAGTGGCATGTCAGTACTTCCCTTTCTCTGTATATAGCTCTATAGTATATACCCTTAATGCCAGTCTCTTCAATGAACGTGAAAATGCCAAAAAAAAAAAAAAAACGAGGGGACAAGGGGTCAAAAATGATTCATTTGCTATGGCCATCACAGTCATCAGACAGTATTAGATGTAAAAGAGGGAGTATTTTTTTGTTTGTTTTTTTGGAAGAATGATGTCCAGCCCTCCAGTAAAATTGTCACCAATCTATTCCCACTTTTACATCAGGTATGGGTGGATGCAGGAACCCAAATCTTCTTCTCCTATGCCATCTGCTTGGGATGTCTCACTGCTCTGGGAAGTTACAATGCCTACAACAACAACTGCTACAGGTAAGAATATGGATACTAGCAGATGGTTGATAATGAAAGCCATCAACATAGAAATAAGTAAAAAATATTGTCTTTTGTATCAGGTTATACTCAGACCTACTTGTAAACACTTAGAATACAAGAACACAGTAAAGCCCCAATAGAAAAAGTGGCTGATAAGAGCTGATGTATTGACAAAATGCCTGTCCGTGTTGCTTGTAGTGTAAAGTCCAGTAACAGCTCTCACAGTAAGTGTGATCTGTTTCTCTTTCTTTTTGTCTTGCTCCTCAGGGACTGCATCATGCTGTGTTGTCTGAACAGTGGAACCAGCTTTGTGGCAGGTTTTGCCATCTTCTCTGTGCTGGGCTTCATGGCCTACGAACAAAATGTTCCCATCGAAGCTGTGGCAGAATCTGGTGAGAGAATAACAATCATGTTACAGAATCAAAATCTAAATAAGTATCAGCTTGGAATGGGGCTGTACACTACAGTGTAGCTAAAGCTGGACCAGAGAAAGCCTGTCTGATTCTTCTTACCCCCATCCATCATACTGTGGTAAAATGAAAATACATAACCAGTTATATAACTCAACACTCTTCACCTAGGTCCTACACCGCTGCATTATGATTTATTCAAGTCAGTATGAATGATTTAGAGGCTGTGACAGAGTGAGAGATTTAAAATGTTTATCTTAGAACATGGTGAGGACCAAGCTTAATGTTTTAGATAGTGTTTCTGAGGGTCTGTCACCAAATGTAAGTAGATACTAAATAACTCAGTGTCATGCCATCTTTTATTTTGAAACAGTCTTAATTCACATTACATTCAGAGATGTTTCTATATTTTTGTACATGCACATGTACATCAACAAGGGTGGTCAATATAATGCATTCCAGTAACCCTAACCCTAGTAAACATAATTAAATGCATATATTTATGAGAATTTCACCAAAAACGGAAACCTTATGTGCATTATAAAGATGGATGTTATAGTATTACTTCTGTATTTTATTCTCTTCAGTTGTGAAGATTTACCTATAGTAAAAAATTGCTCATTGTTTGCACATCTCTTTTCCTTTTGTTCATATGACAATGAGAGAGATACAGTAGTTAAACAGAGATATACTGTATATTAATCATGGATATGCAATGTGTACTAACAGTAACAGCAAGCCCCAGTTCAGTTCCATGAAGAGAATGTTACACCAGTCTAATAAGGCCCCTGTTTATGTGGACTACGGTGACATCAAATACACGACTATCGACTCAGTACACAAAACATTAAGAAATTGTAAAAGAAGCTTAAAGGATAAGGCCAGTCATTTTCTGTATAAATAGTATTTTCAACACTTCCCACACAGAGACTAAAACTGACAATGAATTGCCTCTACTCACAGTTAATGGCTGTCAGCTGTCAGTCCTGGAGTACGTTGCTCGTCTGTGCGGTAAACCTAAGCTCTTGCTCAAAAATGTGTTGGAAACACACCACTGCACTGTGGGACATACCTCTTCATTATGAAACCCCAGTCCTGACTGTTGCCCCAAAGGCTTCAACTGGCCATCATTTCCTGAAGTTAGATTTAGAGTCAGTGTCAACTTGACTTGCGTGTGCTCTCAGTTTTGTTTACATCCCTCTAGGGTCTATGGTTTGCTAATGAAGAAAGGTGTCACCCAGTGCAGCGGTGTGTTTCACTGGTGTGTTTTTAATTGTTTTTGAACAATAATGGTGGTCTATGGCACAAACAAATAAGCTGATCCAGGACTGACACACTGATGGACATCAACTGTGAGTAGAGGCAATTTATTGTCAGTTTTAGTCTCTGTGTGGGGAGTAACACTGTTAATATAGAAAATTACTGGCCTTAACCTTTAAACAAGTTGTAACTGAAATTAAAGGCTGTGTTGTGGTTATTTCTATACTTCATTTGTCTTGACAACTGTCAGACAAAACCCGTGCCTGACCATTAAAATGCTGTAATCATAAAATTCCTGTGGGTGATGTTTCTTCTGTGACACAGGTCCTGGTCTTGCATTTATTGCATACCCAAAAGCTGTTACTATGATGCCTCTGTCGCCGCTTTGGGCTTGTCTTTTCTTTATGATGCTTATCTTCCTTGGCCTGGACAGTCAGGTGAGACCCAACCTTTAAAAATAAGTTTAAAGGTGGTTCTGAAAATTAAGCAAAAGAAATCTAATGAAGCTTGAGTTTAGTCGACTATTTAGACAGTTTAAGAAGTGTGTGTGTGTTCACAGAGAACTTAATGTGTCATGGATTCATGTGTTTTCATATTGTTAAGATTTAGAATATTTAATGAGAAAACATCTAGACTTCATTCCTAGTACTTTAGCACTGAGCTTGCTCTTAGCACTGATAAAAATATGGTTTTAATACTATAATATTGTCCAATTGTACATTTTTATCACTAAAAAGTTAGCTGAAAAACCTGCCCTCGCAATTTATAGAACTAAAGATGTTGTTTTTGTTTATGTCCCAGTTTGTGTGTGTGGAGAGTTTAGTGACAGCTGTGGTGGACATGTATCCAGAGACCTTCAGGAGAGGCTACCGCAGAGAGCTGCTGATTCTTGGCATGTCTATAATCTCCTTCTTCATAGGCCTCATCATGTGTACAGAGGTAAGGCTCTGCAACTGATTTTGCTGAACTGAGGCTATTTTAGTAAGATTATTGTTGCCTGTTTTCATTTTGTGATTGGACTGTGGAGGAATAATTGGTAAATAATTTTACATAAGAGTAGACCACAGTTTAAGTGTGAATGTGGAAGAACACTGGACACAGTGGATGTGTAATAGTCCTTGTGGAATTGTGTTGCAAAAGTGTGCTTAAGAGGTGTTTACATGTACTGCTGAAAGCCGCTGTTATGCCTGAGTGGAACATATAGTAGGCTACACCATTAGTGATGATCAAGGTAATTGGGGGGTCACAATATTGCCTGAGGGGAGGCTCACCTACCCACACTGAAAACATTGCAAGTATTTTAGAGCTGTGATTTAATCCTCTCAGATTCATGTGAGGTTTTATTTATGATGGCCTTTTTTGGGGAAACAGAAAGAACAGATAGGCTGTCTTGAGTGAAGACATGTAGATGAGAAAATGTAAGCACAGCTACTGGGATTCTAACAACAGCAACTTTTGGGAAATATGCTTAAATGTGAAGATACAGTAGATAGCGCACCCATATCTTTCCATTCAAAGGTACAGCAAAAAAGTTTAAAAAACTAACCCAGTAGGTAACCCAGTTTAAGAAAAAAAGCCATAATTGTCATTTTATCTCCATGTTTTCAGTTATTATGCTAAGGTAAGATAAGCAGATGCTGAATCCAGCATCACGTTGAAAGGACAGATTCATGAGTGGTATTAATCTTCTCATCTGACTCTCAGCAAGAAAATGAATAAGCACATTTCCTGTAATGTCCAGGAGCAGACACAGTGCTGTGAATGAACATCAGCAACCAGACATGAACAAAAATAAGATGTTGAATCATATTTCAGAGCCATAATGGACCAATAATGAACAGTGCTGCTTTCAAAAGATTGCATACACCAAACAAGAGGTGTACCATATAGCTTTTAGTGAACGTCACATTAGATGTTGGCTAGAAACCCTTAAGGCAATGCACCATGGTAGTGTTGGGACAAATCCTCATTTTCAGTAAGGATAAATGAAATATCAGTGCTGAGTGACAGTGTAGATGCGTGTCCTAGAATGAGTGGGTCTCTGCTATCAGTCCCTTAATATTTGAAGTTATGTAGCCAAGTCTGATGCTCATATAGTGGCTGTGGCAGAAAACTGACACCTGTCTTCTCATTAGGGAGGGATGTATGTCTTCCAGCTGTTTGATGCGTACGCTGCCAGCGGGATGTGTTTGCTGTTTGTGGCCATATTTGAATCCATATGTATCGGTTGGGTGTACGGTAAGATGAGAGTCTCAGCTTTGTACATACTTTCACTTCCCACTCTTGTGATTTCAGATAAGAGTAGTTTGTCTTTTGTCAGATGAATAGCTGTCAGACATTTCAGCACAGAAAAACAGGCCATTGCTCAAACCCTTGTATTATGGGAGTTTGCCCACCCTGCTGCAGTAACGTTTATTTTCTGCCCTCTACTGGAGAATGAACTCAAATACATACAGCATTTACTTAGTGATGTTCAAGACACAGAAGTCCCTCAACTGAGATATGAGGAGCAACACTATTATGGGAAAGGTTGTCATTCTCTGTGCTTCCATTTAATAAGCCAGACTGTCCAGCAGTGTGTTCATTATATGGCCTAATTAAGGAGAAGGAATATTTAGATATTGTTTCTGGGCTTGATTGTTATCATACTGTATATAAATTCCTGTGTGCCTAATTAAAACAGACAAACTGACAACAGACTCAATTATATTAACTAAGTTCAGAATATTTTACATGCACCAATGCAGAATTATTTAGCCTCTTTTGATAGCACGTTTCAGACTAGATGTTATCCACATCAAGTCAGCAGTTCTGTTTTTCTGTCAAAAGACATTACTCACGTCATTATTTTGATGATACATACAGAAACTGAAACATGCAGAGTGACATTTATTTGCATTTTAGGTAGCGATAGATTCTACCTAAATATCGAGGACATGATTGGCTACAAACCTGTCTTCTTCATCAAATGGTGTTGGATGATCCTGACCCCAGGCATCTGTGCTGTGAGTCCACCACAGACACGTAGTTGATCACAATAGTGATGAGAGACAGACATACAGAAGATTCTCATTTATTTAAATAGGTTTCAATTAACGCTACAGTTAAGGGATGTAACTGTTGGGTTTGTTTTTAGTTTCTCATGCAAGATAATTTTTTAATGAAAAGCAAAAATGCTAGAAAAAACTGTGCATCACAAATGCAGCTTAGGAGAAAGTATTAACGTGTTGCATATTTGTTTATGGAACAACTGGTTTAGATTGTGTTCAGTGAAACTTCTACTGTGTATGGTTCTTGGCCTTACTAGAGCAGTGTTTGTTTCAGCATCATACCAACTGAATTCACACCATATGACAATTATGAATTAAAGGGGCAGAAACAGCATTTACAAGTTGAATATGATTTTTGCCTGCCACAGGGAATTTTCCTGTTCTTCCTGATTAAATACAAACCGCTGAAGTATAACAATGTGTACACTTATCCTGACTGGGGCTATGGTATTGGCTGGTTCATGGCCATGTCCTCAATGGTTTGCATTCCTCTGGGGATTATCTGGATGATCTGGAAGACTCCTGGCACCTTCTCTGAGGTAAAACACACACACGGACAAATCCTATATTCATTAGAATTTCAGACATTGTCCCTTAAATCATAATAGAAAAAACTTGTACAGTGTTCTTTACAGTGTTACAGTGTAATATCAGTTCTCTTTAGGCACCGTATATACAGTAGTTGTTCAAGCAAAAACATAAGTTTTTCCATATTTAGCTTTAGCGAATGAATGCTTCTTTGTCCAATTCATTGTAACAATCATTACAATAAATATATAAGACTATGGTTTGGATGATGAGTGGTCTTGTATTGTAGCTTCTTGTCTGAAAAAAAAGACAAATATTTGTTCTGCACTATCCAAATCATCCATCGCCTTGTTTGCTTGAAATATAATTTTCTCCTTTGCACAGAGAATCAATAGATGAAGCGTTATTGTCTGTCAGCATTCCACTCATTTACTATCTCAAATTGCTACTCTACCATCATGAGAGCCTTTTCTTTAAAGCACACCACCTCTCAAGGGACTTTATTACAAAGCCTGGTACTGGTGTATGCATCTTTTATGATTAAAAATAATAATGAAAAATGTTAGACATTACACTTTCACTGAATGTTTCATGTTTTAACAAATGACTCACCTACCTTGTATTGACTCAGCTGAATGATATGACATCACTGCTCGAGGGGGGGATCAAATAAGTAAACTGAAGGTTTCAGATAGGAGACAATTAGGAGCAGTCATCTGAAGCATAATGAAATGTTGAGGAATGACATCAGTGATGCTTTGGTTATGTCTTGAATAAAATCCACATGGCCCACAAACAGTAACCAAATCTTAGTGCCAAGATAACTGTAAAAAAAAAATGTCACTTTGGTAATATATGTTTTTAAATGTCAGTATATTTCAACAGTTATATATATTTTAAATGTAGTATACCGATGAAGTATACTGAGCAGGTTTATTGTATATATCAGTCAATTATTTGTTAACTTTGGATGTTTGGACACATTGTTTCTTAAAGCTGCTTGTAGAAGTAGCAAGAAAAAGGAATAAGGTCGTTCATCTCTCTCGATTTTTCTATCTGCAGAGAATGAAGAAGTTGACGACTCCTAGCTCAGATCTGAAAATGAGAGGGAAACTTTCCACCCTCAGTCCTTATGCTGCCAACGATGCAAAACTTAAGGTTGATGGGAAAATATCCACTATCTCAGAGAAGGAGACGCATTTCTAACTGATCACCCAATTGACCGACCAAGCTGTCTGCCGTCTTTACAATGAGTCCTAAAACAAAAACAACAAACAACAACAACAACAGTATCCGCCACTGCACAAAACAGGAAATGAAACAAATGACTTGGAGTGTTACTTTTGTTTTGTATAAAAAAAAACAAAGGGGTGGGGCTGGGGTATCACATGATTAGTCGACTTCTGTTCCGCACAAACTTTGTATAACACATTTGTTGTTTTCAGTTAACGTTGTGACTAAAGCAGCTGTTTCTTTCTTTTCTAACCATTAATGTTAAAACAAAATCTGTTTGATGACACAGTATGTGGTTAAAACCTGCCCTGGTACCTTGTCAGTACTGGTCACACTATTGTCTGTGCCTTTAGAACAAGACCAGTGTGTTGTGTTGTGAAAGGCTTAAACTGTACATTTATTGGCGAAGTGCCGTGCCTCTCTATTAGGTACTAGGTACCCAAACGTGACTATTTTAAGATGTAGCAGCTTGGACCATTCTACATAGTTTGCTTGTTTAATGAGGATACTGCAGTCTGTCTAAGTACTGGCTATAGGAGGGCACAGAATTTCCCTGCATGTAAAACTTTCAATTATATATAAAGAGTTGTGCCACTGAAATCTTCTACCTGAACCAGCTGTGACTGGGAGAGCTGTGGATCCTTGTTAGGCCTAAGTGAATCTTATTTACTTGAATTCCATGTTGTTTCGAAGCAAACCATTCATCTTAAAGGATGTAATTGAATGATGTTATTAGGTTATTGATTATCGCGTTAGGTTTTAATGAACACATTTTCATGGCACTGCTCTTTCTAAATAGATGCCTCTGCTCAGGAGGCATATCGTCATCTTGAAGGGCAAGTAATAAGATTTTCATGGTTAAACTCTAAACCTCTTTACACGGCTGCAAAGAGCAGTGAGTGACTCACAGGTTGGGTCTAAAACACATTTCTCTCCTCTAGCTGCCCTCCTATAAAGTACTGGATGTCTGTTATTTCACATTAATTATGCTGAGCCTAACACAGAGTGACAGACGTGCCTCCACCCCTGCTTTTTCTTCTCCGCTCTGCCTATAAAGGAGAAGATGTACAGCCATAAGATGAGCATTTCAAAACCTCATTCCACTTTTTTATTTTGCCCCTTTGTCCCTGTCTCTCTTTGCTCCCACTGTCCTTCCTTCTTCTTTTCATCCTCTGCATCTCCACCTCTCACTCTTTGGCTTCTCTTCATCTTTTGGAGGTCTTTAACAAGGCCTTGTACGCTGTAGAACTGCGGTGCCAATGAATAGTTTGTATTTTGGATCTATGCATCAGTAATGGTCCTGCTGTTGATTAGTGTTTCTGCGACATTTCTTCTGACATTGCAAAGCATTAAACCTCTACAAAAAAGTGCATCTTTTAATTTTGCATGGGTGAAAGCACAGTCTGTTCCTGTCATTGATTTAATCCTAGTACAATTCAATGAGCTGGTCTCATTGTTCAGATCAATCAAAGTCCATTACAGCCTCAAATGACTCTGAGTTGTCCTTCCTTCCCTTCCTTGCTTTGCCCGACTTTCTCACTTCCCATCCTTTTCTTTCCTCTGTCTGTGTTTCCTGATAAATTTGCAATCAGAGGAGAGGAGCTGAGGGGATGAAACTCAGAACATCTCTGTACCGTTTTTAAGGAGGCGGCAAAGAAAGCAGGGGAAGAAATAAGGAACTGATGAGCTGCGGAAGTGCATGATCGAGTAAGTAATTAGGGAAAATGAGGAAGTGTTTAGTGACTGAAGCCCCTCCTGCTTGAGCTGTGACATCCTCTTAAACATGTGATTGGTCCCTCTGGTGTGGTTGCATCATGACATTATCACCTCCTCACTGATGTTTGTGCAAATTAATAGCTGTGTGCATTGGAAAATATAGCCTGCTATTTAACACTGATCCTGTTGATGTATATTTTTACATCTTTCTAGAAATCTGTGGTCTATTTCTTGAGATGAAAAATGTTTTAAAAAATATTGCTGTAATAAAAAGAATATGTCCTTTGTTTTGACTTTTGATATGTCGCTCAAAAGATCTTGTTATAGAAATATAATGAAAGGTGTTTTACTATTCTGTACTGTTCTACACACATTTTGGTATTCACAGGACACACAAACTGTCTGCTTACTCAGTTTTAAGAATAAATATTACAAAGGAAAACTGCGTTTAGACTCTGGTCTTTTTATTTAGTTTAAACCTAACTCAGCTGTGTAGTTATCCTGAAAAAACACTTACATGCTGACATTTCCTTCTGAAATCCTTTGAAATGGTTTTGGTATCTCCATTTGTGATAGAATAAGATAAGGCATTTTATCAAATCCAATACAGTAACTTGTTCATAGACAGTCACAAACAGTCATATGATATGGAGCAGAAAAATATATAACAATTTTCTGCTTGGATACCGGTAGAGAGCTAGAGTGCACCCTGGACAGGTCGCCCATAAATCACAGGGCTGACACATAGAGACCAACCATTCACACTCATATTCATGCCTATGGGCAATGTAACCTCAACAGTTTATCTATGCTGCATGCCTTCAGATTGCAGGAGGAAACCCATGCATCTCATTTAGCTGCCTTAGTCCTGGTCTTGTCCATACAGGCCCACTGTCACACTACCATGGCATACTGAGACACTTGAACAAAAGAAGAGCCATTGTTAATGCTATTAGTAAGACTGGTGCTTTTCCTACAGTCACAAGTCATAAAGTGTAGAGAATCTGCAGAAAAAAAAACCTTTTGGTACTCCTTTAAATAATTCATGTGGCTTTTCAGAACCACACAGTATGTGTAGACAAAGTCAGAATAGTGACAGACTTTGTCTCAGTTCAGTTCTATGCAAGTCATAGTTCCCTTTCTGTTTTTCTTTCGGATATTGTATATCTGTATCATTCCTATCAAATACAATCAAAATGTCAAAAAAAGAAACATGATTCATTTACTGGATACAGCCTTTATTAAACTATGGCCCAGAGCCTAAAATCAGCCAGAGGGACTGTTATTGGCTCTGTAATTTAACAAGATTCTGCCTCCATACTAAACTTCTACTTCTAATCAGTGCTTGGTCCCTTTTGCTACCTTGCTTGTGCAACATGAAGCCTGAGTTATTCTTTTAATTTCAGCAGGGGGCAGCAAATTCAAAGTACCAAGACTGAATAAGCTTTAGCACCAGACGAAAAAATATATAGTCCGTGTAGGTGTTAGTATGTGCGTCTGTATGCAGCCACATATGTTTATGGGTTGGTGTGTAAATATGTTTGTCATCTATTTGTGTCTGTGTGCAATGCAGTTTTCTGCCCACAACATACAGTATTTGTGTTCAAACAGCGCGTGTGCCTGTGTATCTCTGCATCATTAACACTATACTTTGAATAGCTGATGTAACATTATATAATATCAGATATATTTCATCTTTACACACTCAGTGGTAACATCCTTCCATCAATGGAAAAGCAGATTAAATATACAGAGCTCATGTCTTTACTGTGTATAGGATCATGAGGCATTTCCTGCATGTATTTTTTTATGGAGTGCGAGGCTCATTCTTATCATGACCTCCTAGGTTATCACTGGCATACAGTCTTGTCAAAAAAGGAAAGAAATATAATGTGGGATAGATGGACAGGGACCAATGGTGGGAAACAGATAGGTGAGCTGAAAAAAATAAACAAGATGGAAGAGAAGAATGGGAAAAGGAAATGGAGAGGGGAGGGGCATGAGTGAGAGTAATCTGGGGTGTTATGAAAGGAGGCAACACAGAGAAAATGGTTTCTGTACTTGGAGAGAAAGAGAATGAAGAGGCTGGACAGGAATCTCAGAGGTCAAAAATGGTAACACTGTTCATTGTCCTTTATTTGAAACCACCCAACCCTGCTCCAAATAGCAGCTGGAGCATTCCATTGTTGTCGGGTTCAGACAAATATAAAGCTAATGTATACATACACAAAATGTATGGTTTAGTATGCTGCTGACTCAGTAACCACACAATAATTGGAAAACAATTAATATAGGCTGATTTTATTTAGAATAAACCTACAACCTTGCCCCCAAAATCTATTTTCATAATGTGTTAAAGCCTCTACACACCAGTAGTCCCACTGCTGAGATCTTCTCAGGACCGTTTTATCCAACCAAACAGGCCTATTCAGTTTTACTATCATGACAAAAACCATCAAGGCAAACAAGACTGGCCAAGATGGAAACAGCTAATGTTGCAACTGCAAATCCATTTTAATGAAAAAGAATGACTGAAACAAATAACTGACTAGAGTTGGACAGAGCGGTGAATAGCAGCCTGTTTGTGGTCAGACAATGTGGACATTGTCTCCTCCCAGCAGCTGACAGCTTTAGATTATGAACCAGAAACTGAGCAGAGATGAACTTGAAAATTCATTCCTTGATCTAGACTGTGTAGATTCATGACTGGATTAAATAAATCCCATAAAATCACACATGATATTAAGGTTGTGTCCCAGTGTCTGGGGTGCTTTGGGCAGCATTCACTCAGTGGTACAGGCTGTTCACTTTGTGCTCAAAAAGCCATGCTGTCCCTTAATATGAAAGAATGTCCTGTTTACTGGAAGTACTATGATCAGCTGATGGAGACCAGTGTCACACCACCACCTCTGTCCTTGCTGTTACATAACAACCAGTATATGCACAGGCAAAATGTACACTGTCTGATTATCAGTGGCGGGAGAGGAATTGGGTTAATGGGTGGTCCCGCAGACCAATCATCCAATCAAGGGCCGGGTCCACAAGCTTTTTAAACCCTGAGAATGATCAGTACAGTTGTTTGTCAAATCAGTCAAGTATGCGGCAAGTTTCTATGTCAATCGCTGTAATCTCGGTCCTAGTGTTTTGATTCAGATACATTGGTTTGGCACCTCCTAATTGTTCGTGGGAGCTCCACTGCATTGCAGAAGTGAATGTGTGGTTTATGTGCTTAAAGAAAAGTTTATTTATTTGAAAAACATCAGAAAAACAACAATACACCTGGTCGAACCCGTCTGGATTCAGGAGGACCATGGATCACCTGTGCAACTTCATGTTTAGCTCATTAGCTTCTTAACAAAACAAACGCTGGTTATTAAGGAAAATGTGTTTGACTTTACTGTGCCATGAGCAGCTCATCTAGTTCAGGTTGTTTTTTGCCAGCCCTCCATGCCCAACTGTCTTTCCAACATGGCTGCTCTGCCATGACTATTTAGATTTTTTATGTGTCATCTCGCCGAAAGCGGCCATCTGTAAGTAGGTTTGTGTAATAGGCATAGATCTAGGCTTCGAGGCACATAAAGCTCCTAGGAGAAACTCTTAGGAGTTTTATCTGCTGTGCGGTCTATCTTTATCACTCACTCTCACGTTGTCCGTCTGGCCAGAAGAAGAATTTTGATGACGTTTATCTACGAAAGGTACGTGGTTTTAATTTTTTTCTCTAACCTGGTTGTTTCTCCTGCAGGTGGTCGCCGTACCACAATGATTTACTTACATTTTCATGAAGATATTTCACCACCACCCATCGATCCGTCCGTTAGTCCAAGATGGCCACTGGTACAACAGTTTGTTACGTTAAGCATTGGGTCATCATTTCAACATTTGTCTACTAAACGTATGTGGCGTTTCCTTACTTCTCTAACCTGGTTGGTTTCTCCCCCTAGCTGGCCGCCGTGCCAAAATGATTTTATTTTTGTCTTGGATATCCTCGGTCAACGTAGCGTGTTCGTTTACAAAAGGTAGGTGTCGGATCTTTCGGTGTCTCTTTCTTTCTTGCTCTCTCAAACATGACCCTGGTGTCATGACTATTTCTGGCTAATCTGCTTGAATGTGTATTACTGCAGTAACACTTTGATTTTCAGGAAATCAACAAAACTGTAAGTCTCGTTTTTATTATTTTCTTTGTTGCAGCAGCACCTGCCTGCCTCTGTCTATCTTCCTTTTCCAATCTTTATTTTAATCTCTTGGGCTTTGGAGGCGCCTGATTTGGTGGTTAGTGCACTTTGGATAGTTTTAAATTCAGACAATTAGACATTAGCTCATTAATGAATTTTTAAATAGGAACTGATATTACTAAAAACCTTAAAATCAAACAATTTAAAAAAAAAGCTAATATTAGAACAAGACAACTGAAAAAAATGTTAGCAATAACAAGATTCTAAATCAAACAAGTATGCTAATAATATAAAATGACTTCTCAAAAACACTGAAGTGATTTGATAGAAGGTCCAGTGCTGACGGGCCTCAGCTGCAAAAGCCTGGCTCGACCTCTCATAATAGGAAAATGATACTTAAAGGGGAGAAATCGCTTAAATACATCCATCCATCCATCCATTTTCCTCCGCTTATCTGGAACCAGGTCGCAGGGGCAGCAGTCTAAGCAAGGATGCCCAGACTTCCCTCTCTCCAGACACTTCCTCCAGCTCCTCCGGGGGGATGCCGAGGCGTTCCCAGGCCAGCCGAGAGACATAGTCCCTCCAGATGTTCCAAAATATTTCTCTTTAAATTGGCAATAAGATTTAAAACAGCCTGATACAGATGAATCATGACAACTGAACTAAGGACGCTGACTACAGACCTGTGCGCCAGACTGTTTGCTGAGAACTGAGGCTGGGACTCGACCTGACGAGACTCCCTCAGCTGTAGGAAGCACAGTCAACTACACTTTACTCCAGCATCACCTTGGATAAGATGGCAACAGCAGCTGAATGAACCTTTCCTCTGGAGTTGATTATGCGCAAATTTGGACAGAAACCTGGGATCCTCTGAAGAACCTTGCCAGTGAGGGGGCCCCCCAACCCCGTCTGTGTTTTTGTCCAGCAAACTCTTTCTCTGTCTGTCTGCACATCTACATCTGTCTTTGTCTGTGTTATGTTTGTCTGTCTCAGTTTCTGTTCATGCACACTTGTCTCTGTCTTTTTGCATGTTCTTGTCTGTCCATAAAAGTAAATGGAGCCATGAGCATCTGATTTAAAAAGGTAAGGCACTAAACTTTAGACAGTCCTACAGGTGTGTGACATGAGATGCCACGACAAGCAGTGCTGATCGTGGCGTGGTTGTATGGCAGGACGCTCATAAGGTCAGGACTGACAAGATGTGGCTTTTTGTCTCTGTCCAACATGGTCGCCATGGCAATTTACAGTATATCTGTCTTTGCTTCTTGTATCA